GCCTCTGATGTGGAAGGGTCAGGGCCCTGCCTGTGTTTCCTTCCTGCTGAACTCCCAGCCTCACCCTTTGTATGAGCATGTGCAGACCAGAGGAGAAAATGAGAGAATGAATATGGGTGAATATCTCTGAACAAACACACAGAGAAGCAGCAGCAAGTAGAAACATTTCTTATGTGGGGTTGAGGTGAGGCCATATCTGAGTGAGTGATTCCTAAAGTGTGTGTGTGTGTGTGTGTGTGAGTGAGTGAGTGAGTGAGTGAGTGTGTGAATTCTTGCTTGCATCTGTTCATATTTACTTTTGTCCCTTTCTCTACCTACCATTCTCTTCTGTGCCTTCTGCCCACACAATAGGTAGCTACTACTGCATTTTATTTTAGTCCTTATACCCTACCAAATCTGAGGTTGACACAAATAACTGTAGAACACTTATCAGCATCTTGATAACATATGGCTGCCACACCTCTGTGTTGACACGTGATTGGGGAATACAGATTATATGTATAATGATTTCCCATTGATTTTGGTTAGGTGAATGGTTTTCTTGGCCAAAATATTACCTGTAAAATCAGTATTTTTCCAGATTCAAGACACTGATCTGATTGGCATTTGTATTACATGGATGAATCTCAAACTTGCTTGGATTTTGTGCATCAAAAAAGAAGATGGTCCAGATCATTTAAAAAATCCCTTCTATCTTTACAACTCTCAGAGGAGTATTCAGGTGTGGACACTATCCGCCAGCAAGCTTGGGAACAAACAGAAGAGAGCAAAACAAGCTCTATTACTGTAAAATAAAAGGGTTAAACAAAACAAAAAAGGAGAAAGGAAGACACGTTTGGTTACATTCATTCATTGTTACTGGCAAGGAATGGGTATCATTCAAGGCCACTGATATAATGTAATTGTTTGTTATACTTTATTCCTATACAGTACAACTTTTCACCATGGCAGCTTACAAATGCAAAACTAAAACAATGACATATTGGTATATATTCTTGGTTTCAATGGCATAGTAAGGCATATGCTTAACATTGACATTTGAGATGAGTCACTTAAAGTAAGGCTGAAGCTCATCCCAAACAGTTTTGTGTGTAGTAATGAAGTAGCTTTGGAGTAAATCCAATGCAGAATCGATTAACCCCATACTTTTATTGCCCTCTAAGAAAACCCCAGTACTCACAGGCTTAACTGTGCACTCTTTTATTGGTGAGTTTGAGTTGACATCATTATGCCTCTATTTCCTTTTTCTTTAAAAATCTTGATTAAATCATTCTCATCACCACCAGTGCTTTTGTTTTCAAAGTGATCCTCCAGGGCCTATGTTGTATGGCAGTCCCAAGTTTATGAAGACACGAGCATCAGAAAATGAGTCCATTATGAGCAGTCTCATTTTTAGCCACATGAAGCGTGTCTTTGATGAGATTTTGAAATACTTGAAACTGGTTTGGGTTTTTTTTTTGGATCAGATGCAAATGTTTCAGTTCTCTCATGACAAAAATGTTAAGGAAATCCCATGTAAGCTTTCAAGCTTGGTGCTGATGGCATGCATGTAAGTCCTCTCTCACCACTTATGTTCACATCAGCCGTTCCCAAGTTGTGCCTTCCAGATGTTATACACTACAACTCCCAGGTGCTCACCCAGTATGATAGGAGTTGCCATCAATCACATTAGAGGGCGCCAGGCTGGGAAAAATGGCTTACACCATAGACAGTTTGTGTCCACCCGAGCTGTGTCTCATATGGACTAATTTCATATATCCAAACATGTCTGCAGAGTGCTAAATTTTCACAAGAGTCAATGCATGTTCTTTTGTAAGTGATATGACTAAATATACCTTGGTCTATGCTTTAAATACACAGTGAATTAACTTTCTCTTAAGTTCCAGCAAAGCTAATCCTCCCAGCAGATGTTAGCACTCAAGTACAAAATGAATATGATTTTAACTTTGCTTGAATCTAACCTAATAAATTCTATTGTTTTCCCAAGCACTTCTGTGAATTAGAGTGAACTCTGGGTTGCCATCCAAACACAAATCCAGGGCTAGAGTGGCTTTTAGGCATGTAGCCAAACAGCTTCCCAATTCCCTAGAAGGGTATCTTGCCCTCCTTCTACAAAATTTTTGGGTCAAAAGTTGAAAAACAAGCTAATCTTAATTTCCCTTCAATTTTACAAAAGTTTCTTCGCATTCTCAAAAGGGTCTCAGTTGCATCAAACTGTAGTAATGCAGCAAGAAAAAATTGATGCTGCTCCTGTGTCTCCCACCACAGACAAGCCTATCTAGTGTTCTACCAGCTGATGTCTGACACCATTTCTTTCTACTTAGAGGTGGATGGTTGACTAGCGTTTGGTGTTCGGGAAGGGAAACAAACAAAAATAATGTTTTCCAAACTTCTGACAGGTCTCCCCTGCCTTCCCCCCCTTGCCTTTTCCTTTCCTCTCCACACACACACCCCCGGTCAAATCTTGACTGCTAACTCAGGCTCCAGGTGGTGCTAGAAATCTGACAAGTTTATTAAGCAGAGTTTTAGCTAGGGTTGCCTGATCTTGGGTTGGCTGAAGTCTCAAGAAATTGCTGTGCATCTCCAGGTTTCTACATGGGGAGAAAAATCTCCAAGCCAATGGCACTGGTGGAAAAACAACTCTGATTTTTGTGTAAAAAGTAGCTTTAAAATCTGGGATCCATTCCTCCCTTTGCCAGGCTGGCTGGAAGTTTCATGGCTCAGCTCAAAGACACTTGTAGGAATATTGTCCTTCCTCAGAGTCATTAGGAGAGAAGGAGAAGGCAGAGGCTAGAGTGCTGGACTTTGTAACTAATGCTTACAGCCTATTTGGTTCATGCCAATTGGTATAGAAATCCTTTGCAATGGACCAGGATTGTAACATTTCTTTTTAGACGGTGAGAGAGACCTAGAGAGGAGAGGAGAGGAGATGGATGGATGGATGGGTGGATCTATCTATCTATCTATCTATCTATCTATCTATCTATCTATCTATCTATCTATCTATCTATCTATCTATCTATCTATCTATCTATCTATCTATCCATCCATCCATCCATCCATCCATCCATCC